CGGGGCACCCCGAGCTGCGGGCGCCGGGGCCCGGCCGGATCCAGGCCCTGCTGCAGGCGGCGCAGCAGCCCGCGGGGAGCATCTCCCCACCGCCACCCCGGTTCTCCCAGCGCCCACCTGCATCTCCCAGCCCCACCCGGGCACCGTGGGGCTGGCCGGGGTGTCTGTCCCGGGACCCCCTCCTTGTCCCCCAGAGGTGCCTGTGCCGTGCGTGTGGGGGGATGCTGTCGGCTCCTTGGGGTGCCGCTCGCTGAGCAGAGCCGGGGTGCTGGGCAGCGTGGGGTGCTGGGTGCGTGCCGGGCATGCCGCTCTCCAGAGGGGGTCCCTGCCGTGCACCCAGCATCCAGCCGGGGGGCACCCACCGCCAAGCTGGGGAGCACCCGGCCGGGGTGCACACCGCTCTCTAGCCGGGTCCCTGCTCTCGGGACAGGGCTGGGAGCCCCCCGGCCTGTGTGGGCCTGGATAGGTTCCGCTCCCCACCAGCCCCGGGTCTCCGGGGAGCCCCGCAGTCCAGCCGCCAGCCCAAGGGCGCCGTGGGCGAGCGCGGTGTGAGCTGCCGGCCAGGAGGCAGCTGTCAGCCCTGGGTACATCTCGCTTCCCGGCATCCGCTGCAAAGGAGCCCTCCCTGCCAAAGCTGCTGAGAGCAGCAGAAACGGTTCCTGGGAAGGTGAGCGCTGGGGCTGGGCACCCTTCACGTCCAGCACTGAGACGTGGCTGGGGAGCAAGCCCCCACCATCCCCATCCTCAGGGCTGAGCTTGCCCCGTCAGCCTCAGCCCCTCCATCCTGGGGCCACCGGGGATGCCCAGCACTTGGTGCCAGTGGGAGCAGCATCCCCGCTGCTGGGCCCAGTGCCTGGGTATGGGATGAGGGGTGATGCTGGGGGGGGCTGCATCAGGCAGGGTGATGGGGACCATCCCTTGGCGGTGGCCCAGCCCGGCTGAGCCAGGGACTGTGAGGACACTGCGCTGGTGCCGGGGGATGCTGCGCTCTTGCCCAGCTGGGATCCCTGTGTTTAGTCTGGGATTTCCCCCACTCCAGCCCGGTCCTGGAGGGTCCGAGCGTCCCCTCCCCCTGCCCGGCCCCGCGGAGGCTGCTGGGGCCCATTACTCGATCAGAAAGGAATTTGGTGCTGCTTTCTGAGCACGCCGACTCCCTGGAGCTCCCAGCCACATTGGAAACACATGTGCCCGGACTGGGGCGGGCCGGCTGGGGCTATGCTCCCCCTTCCCGACTGTGGCGTGGGGGGCCGGCAGCTGTGGGTGCCCCAGGTGCTGGCACCCACGGATGCTGCTCCGCCTGCTCGGGTGAGCCATGGGGCCACGAGAGGGCAGTGGGGCCATTGTCCCCTTGGCGGAGTGATGGGGGATCCTTGCCAGAGTCCCCTGGCATTGGAGACCCCTCCTCCCTGGGCTGCACGAGGCACCACCACCCACGGGTGACCCACATGCCTGGAGCCCAGCAGGTGGGAAGGGGCTGGGTGGAGGGGGTTAAAGCCCATGGAAGGGGGTCAGCGATACATGATGCTGCCTGCACCCGCTGTGGCACGGCTGGTCCGTGCTGTCAGGGCCTGTGGTGATGCTGTTGGGCTGTGGGTCCCTGGGGACACCCCTGGGGATGCTGCTAGCCCCAGCATGGCCCCGCTGGCCCCGGAACTGGTAACCTCTGGATCATCCATCCTGGCACAGGGTCAGACCACGCCACTGGGCTGCGCCTGGGGCAGGGCTCTGTTTCTGTGTCAGGCCCTGGGAGCACCCCTGGGTGCAGGCAGCAGCACTGCGCTCAGGTACCACCCTGCATGGCAGGGTCCTGGAGGAGTGAGCAGGCAGTGCGTGTCCCCAGCACCTTCAGGGCTCCCCAGGCAGCCATGGCTGTGGCTCTGTCCTATTTGTTTACCCCCCCTCTGCAGCCAGCTGCATCCTACCCTGTGAGCCCCCAACCCCTGCCCGCAGCCCTGGGCTCCCCCAAACTGCTGCCATCCTCCCACGAGTCCTGGGGGATCACAGCAGGTCCCCCAAGCTGGGGCTGCAGTTGCAGGCAGGGGCTGCGTTTGCCGCCCTTCCCCATCGCAGACGATGCTTTGCAGCTGCTTTGCCAGCTCCAGGCCGGGAGCTGGCGCCGGCTGGGGCGGCCGATTAGCGGGATCGGGATGTGCGGATTAAAGTCAATCTTGTTGGTGCAATTATCTGTGGCTTGCTGCCAGGGGCTTGATGCAGTGGGTACCAGGGGGCGGAGGGAGGCCCCCTCCATGTTAGGTACCTGCCTGCCTTCCCCTTGTTTTTCAGCTGATGGGGTCCAGCCATGGCCCCGCTTTGGGGTTGGCTCTGCCTGTAAGGACCCCCCCCCCCC